TGTGTGTGTGGGGGGGGGGGAATACCAGCAAATTGTGTGCCGTGAGGGCAGCCAGCCACATGTATTAAACACAGAACTCATATAGCATCTCATAAATCAGAGCCTTGGCAGAAAACAGCATTGCGTGTCCATACTTGGGACGGGGGGGAGCTTTAGCGTTGAGTGACCATGTTGTTCCCATTTCAGAACCGTTACAGTGGCTTATGGAAGGCTGTTTATGGAAGTCATTTCTGGGGACAAGAGGCAATCTGAAATATGTAGCTTAGATGTTGAGACATGGTCATTTCTGGAGTACTTTAGCAGCTTTGGGGACAAGGAGACAGAATATTTATAATCTTCATGGTCTCAGGAATGCCTCGAAACCCCCTAAAATTGAGTAAACATCAGCCTCCCTGGTGCCCTGCTTTTTCCAACAGTGAGCACTGCGGCTGGCAGAGAGACTCACATTTTAAGCCACTAAAGTACCACGAGACTGCACAGCAAATCTATTTCAAGAGCTAAACATGCTGAGTTTATGTACTCTGCAAAAGAAAGGGACACAAGGCAGTTAGAAATGATGGAAGATGATAATAAACACGAGTTTAAGCAACTTTAAAAGGAGCCAGGCTGTCTGAGACTTCTGAAGCATGACCAGAGGGCAGAGCACGAGACCCAGGGTGAGGGCCTCGAGGCTGTGCTTCCGATTCAGCTGCTGGGCTCCAGAAGGCTTCAGAGGAGCATCTACACTGGCCTTGCTTCCTGGCACCCCTGCCAAAGATCGGGTGAGGGCTATGTTTAAAGTCCACCAAAGACCAGATGGGATGGAACAAATGTGGGCTTTCGAGCCAGCCAACCAGCTGGGGTCTTCGGTGCATTGGTTAACTTGTCTGAGACCCCTCATGGGGGAAGTGTGGGCAGAGCCACGGAAGAGCCAGAGCGATGGTCCCAGAGCCACTCCTGCGAGGCTGGCCTCCTCTGATGGCCTCCCCTCTCCTCATTTCCATTTCTTCACCTATAACATGGGAATTAGGATTCTTTGTCATTTGCATGTTGCTCTGCTGATTGAATTACGATGTGTACGAAAGCATGTGTACAAATCCGAATAAGCAGAAGGGATTCTTTTTTTATCATTATTTTATTTAGTTTCCTTTATGTTTATAGAGAGAGAGCATGAATGGGGGAGAGGGGCGGAGGGAAAGAGAGAGAGAGAGAGAGGGAGAGAGAGAGAGAGAGAGAGAGAGAGAGACTCTTAAGCAGGCTCCACGCTCAACACGGAGCCTTATCCGGAGCTTGATCTCAGGACCCTGAGATCATGACCTGAGCTGAAAGCAAGAGTCTGACACTCCGTTGACTGAGCCACCGTAAATGTAAGGGATTCTTAACACCTCTTATAAGTCCTTAGAAGAAGAGGAGAACACCATGTGAGGACAGAGACGGAGGCAGGGATGGGAGTGATGTGGGGCCAGACCAAGGACTGCTGGCCACTGCCAGCAGCTAGGAAGAGGCAGGGAACGATTCCCCCCTCCAAGTCAGAGGGGTGTGGCCCTGCTGACACCTTGATTTCAAACTTCTAGCCTCTAGAACTGTGAGAGAACACATTTCTATTGTTTAAGCCACCCAGTCTGCGGTACTTTGTAGGGTAGCCACAGGAAACTAATACAGCCCTCCATGCTTTTAAATTATACTTGCTAAATAAAACATTCACCTCGTACGACCTCTCCAAACGCCAGAGGGGAGTTCTGCCTATATGGCTCATACTTCTAAGTCTTATTTCTAAAGAGTTTTACCATTGTTTTAGCAGCTTCCCCTGAAATCTCACTGGGGCACTGCTCACAACACGTCTTCAGAGTTGGTGCTTCCGGGACCACCATAAGCGAGAGGCATGTCTGGTCCCCCTGGGAAATACACATTCTTGGACCAGCTGAAGAGGAAGCAGCCTCCTGCGGAAGGGCGAGTCTGTGACAGATGAAGACCACCGAGATATACTTTTGAAGAGCCTCCAGTGGATTTGTCACTGTCCCTCTCCCTGAGCCCGAGAGAAAGTGGGTCCACAGGGCTTTCTTCCAGCTCAGTTCACCAATGGAAACTAAATCTACCTTGCCTGGTGCCTAACCCAGGGATATACACCCGGAGTCTCTGGAATGAGCCCTGGACTTGGTGTCAAGGACCCTGTGATCTGTTCTCGATTTTGCCACTCACTGGCTCTCCCTGACTTTCTTCGTCTATAAAATGGGTGTACCAGCTCCCTGCAGGGTGGTCCTGGGCCACTGTGACAAGGGCACGGATGTGCCTGTAAAATCATGAAGTGCTGTGCAAATGGTAAGTGGTGAAATCATTATCACGCTCATCCTCCACCAGTTGTCAGCGCCTGTGGGGTGGGGGTCCTCCAAGAGGACCAGGAAAACTGGATAAAAGTGTCCAGCTGGTAAGAGAAGAGTCAGCTGTAGTGCCCGATTCTCTGGTATTGGCTGCCCAGGGGGAGAGCAGTTGAGATGAGCTCTCCCGGTGGGTAATAAAATGAGTCTACGTAGGGAGGAAGCAGGATGTATAAAGCCCAGGAGCCTGATCTGTTTCTGAGATCAAACAGAGCAGCATTGTACCGGGGTGTGGAGCTGATGTCAGCGTCTAGAATGCTGGTCGGAATCGCCCTGGTTACGCAGCTGGACCGGAATAAGGCAAGTCTGTATCTGAACTCATTAATTTTTACAACCAACTGAACTGTTCTGCTTTTTTTTTTTTTTTTTTTTTTTTTTGGATGGGAGGGGTGTTGGGGGAGGTGGTGCAGGGGGAGAACAAGGGAAGGAAGGGAAAAGGGAGGGGCTAGTATGTATGGAACAGGGGGCTTCCCACCAGCAGACACTATCTCATTATTCCCCAGCAAGCCCTAGCTTCAAACCTCCAGCCCCCTGGACAGTTAGGCAGAGCCGCCGTTGCAGGGAGAGAATCGAGAACCGGGCCAATGAAACGTAAGGATAATTAGAGTGGCACAAGCCGCTTCTAGGAGTTCAAGTTATGTCAATGTTTCCATTATATGCCTCACTTTTTGGGGTTTATAACGGAGCTATAAAAACTCACGCCAGCTGAGAATTTGGCAGGCCAGGTCGCAGCAAAGGAGGGACTGTTTTTTAATTCAATTCAGCTGCTCGTAACTTGGGGCGGGGAGCACGTTGTACATTTGGATAAGTCCAAGGGGCTGGTTTCAAGCACTGAGAGCTATTGCTGTCTGCTCCCCGCCCCCTCCTCCTGTCTCCTTTGTGCTCTCGCTAAAGAAACAGCATTATATAAACACACCTCACCAGCATTCTGAGCAGGGAATATACGGGCACTCTCCAAGTGCCAGATAATTTGGCTTTTCTCCATCCCTCAGAAGGATGTGGTTTAACCCCCTTCCAGCAAAGGTGCAAACCATTTCACCCAAACCTCCACACAAAAGATTGTCAAGCCCCTGCAAGTGAGCTGTTTGGTACGAGAGCTATTCCAGACAAATCCCAGCGTTGGGGGCAGCCCTTTCACATTGTTGTAAGAGGATTTGACTTGGCTGAGAAGTATTGTCCCCATCTCACAGGTAGGCTTGTTGACCTCTCAAGCACAGAGTTGAGAGTTTCTTCCATATTTCATCCCACGGTCTCCTATTGCCTCAAAGTATCCAAATCTCACTGGATCTTTAACAACCCAGTGCACAGACCACCCCCACCATGAAGACTTCTGTGGTTCTCCTGCTAGAGGTCCTCGCTCTCACCTTTGGCCTCCTATCTGCTCTTTTCCTATAGTTATCCTTCGGTTGCTGTGCTATATGTCACTGATTTGTGTGCATTTTATTTCTGTATCATGAGTCCCTTCTGACAGCTTATTAAACTCTACCTACTCCGAAGGGCCAAACTTTGAATAGATGCCAAACTAGATGAACTCTGCTCCATAAGTGTGGGTGGAATTCATCACTTAAATAATTAGTAATGACCATCCGGGGCTGGGTGGCCGACAGAAGAGGCACAAGGAAAGCTCAGATCAGACTGGGACCTACCAATCCTTTCTTCCATAATAGGCGGGGAGACAGCACATCAAATTGATTCCTTACCTTGTTACTGATAGTAGCAACAAGAAAATGAGAAGATGTGGGGGTCGGGAGCCTCAACTAGAAAAGTAGTAGAAAGATGCAAGCAATAGCATATATTATATATGAGCACAGTTGTTCCTATATTAGCATATAATAGTAACAAAAACAAGCAAACCCACCTATACATATGCACACATAACTCTATTAACCTTATATGAACAGTGAGACTAGTATATTTTACCAATACGCACTGGTTTTGCTCTGCATTATAACCCAATTCCCAGCCTTCAGTGCTATGAAAGTGACGTTATAAACCATGGATAAGTAACTGTATGAATAGATGACACTGACATCACTCTAGCATACAGAACATTCAATAAAAATTTGCCAAGTAAATGAACGACTTAAGGTAATTTAATGGAGATAAATAATCATGTTTCTCCATACACTAAAGGAAATATTGTTAGTGATGGTAATTAATTTAGGTTCCCTCATAAATACCCAGTTCTGATCTAAGAGCTAGTAGTAAATGGGATTTCAGTCTTCCCTGGGGGTTCAGAGGGCCATATTGTACTAATAAGGCAATGAAAGAATAGACATATGTGTGAGTGTGATTGGCAGACTGGTCCCTTGAACATATTGGCACTAAGCCTGACAGTTTGAGGTCACGGAGCTGGGAGGGCCCATGAACGAATAGGTGGGTAGGCTAAGAAAATGTATCTGAGTTGGAGGCTGGGACTAGTTTATAAAGAAGTCTGGCTTCCGCCGCATTTTCTGGAAGATCTCTAATATTGCTCTAGCATTTGTATTTGATTAGAATTTTAAGATCTTTCAAACTTTAGGAATATAACTGAAGCCCACGTCTGTAAGTTAGGACACAACGCTAATTTCAACTGCTTCTTTCTGTAAGGAACAAAATACGAACAAACACAAGGTTGCCCATTACAAAAAAGGGTATCAAAAAGGGTATATCAAAGTCCAAAGGTTTTATTTATATATACAGGTAAATGTGGGTAGAATTAACTACTTAATTAGGAAATGAAAGTCAGCTGGCTGACAACAGAGGCACAAGTAAAGCTCAGAACAGATGGGACTTCTCAAGTCCTTCTTCCTTAATATAAGGGAAAACAGAATAATACATATTTTGGTAGGAAGGAATAATAAGAATGGTTAGGTCATTGGAGAATGCCAAGGGCTTACAATCAGGGAACTTGAGTTGGAATCTAAGCTCTACCACTATATGTCAACTTCTTTTTTCCGAGCCTTGCTGTCTTCATCTATGACATGGGGTCAACGTTACCAAAATCACAGAACTGCAATAGGTCGTATCAATCATGAGTGTGTTTGGCTGCAAGTAACAACAAATGGATTACAGGGGTTTCAAAAAAGAAGAGTGGATTTTTCTCACATAAGAACAAGTCAAGGTAGGCAACTCAAAGGGCTCACTCAGTGACGCCTTAGGAGATCCAGGTTCTTTCTGTATTTCTGTCTTAACATCTGTCATGTTGGTCCTCCTTATGTTTGTCTTCTCTTGCTCACAAGATGACTACTGTAACTTCAGCGATATGTACACATTCAGGAAGAATGGGCAAGGGGCACAAGCTCTTCTCCCTGTGAGTCTTTCTCAGCCAATCCATTCTCACATCTCTTTCGACACTGTGGGGCACTTGCCCATCTTCAGATTGATGAGTGGCGAAGGGAGCCAAGATGACCATGATTGCTTTTGACCCATCATCATACATCTTGACTGCTTTTGACCCATCATCATACATCTTCTGGCACTGAAGTAGAGACAAATCAAAGAATCTTTCTGTGCTGGGGTGCCCGGGTGGCTCAGTCAGTAAAGCATCCCACTCTTGATTTCAGCTCAGGTCATGATCTCACGGTTCGTGGGTTTGAGCCCCACACCGGGCTCCTCACTGACAGCTCACACAGATCAATTCAGGGCTATGTCAGCAGGGAAGAAGGGTGGCTGTTGGGTGAGTAACCAATAGGGTCCGCCCTGTGGTAAAACATGATAAAGCTGAGCTCCCCAAAGTGTGGTCCCTACGTCAACAGCATTAGCAGCATCTGGGAACTTGTTAGAAATGCAAAGTGTTTCGTTCCATCCCAGAGCTACAGAATGCGAAACTCTGGGGTGGAGCCCAACAATCTGTGTTTTAGCAAGCCTTCCAGAGGATTCTGACGCTCACTCAGGTTTGAGACCCACTGGGAAAAAGTTGAGAAAAAAACTTAGCAACGAAGCTGGAAACTCCATGAGGGTAATGACATGTGTTCTTTACCAAAGCCCTCCTATGGGAAGTGGGGAGGAGAAAAACCAACCTTTACTGAGTACGTACCAAAGGTGGGCAATGTCCTTGACGCCTTCACCTGTCTCTTCTAACTTTATCTGAACAAAGGCCATTTTCACAGATGAAAAAACTGAGTATGAGAAGGGTTAAGTTGACTTCTGTGAAGTCATTCATCTGATGAATGACACAGCTCAAATTCAAAGCGTGGTCTGATTCCAAGCCAGCATACTTCCCACTGTTACACCTAAAAAACAAAACAAACAAACAAACAAACAAAAAAACAAAAAAAAACCCAGTCCTGGTAAATTTTAAAATGACTCAATTTATAAAAATCTCATTTCCATGGAAAACTCATTTTTCCTTTCCTGGGCATTCAGAGCCCGGTGCAGTTTTGCTCTGATTTATCTTCCAGCCTTACCTTCACTACAGCCCCACGCTCGCCCACTCCCATCCACTCAGCCTGGCACAGAGCCACCCCGACGCCTCCCCATTTCTTGGGCATGCCATGCAACTTCAACGCCTCAACTCAATTCCTGCCCTCTGTAATGCCCTCCCTTCCTTTTTCTGCCCGTTGAACTTTATTCTTTGTAAATGATTGAACAACTAAAACTGGCCCTCTGTGTGTTCATAGTATGATGCAGGAAACTAACGTGGCATTCACTAAGCGTCTGTGTAATAAATGAATGCAAGATGCCTTGTTTGAATTCTTCTACCAAGAGGTACCTCCAAGGTTTTCTTTCTAACCCACCAGCATTTTGCTCACATTTCTGATTTCTCAGTCTGTCCTGTGATAAGATGGTATATGTGCCTCTGTCTCCCAAACGACGTGTGGACTCCGAAAACCAAGGTGTGGTCTTACTCATCTCCTTATCCTCCATAGCACCCAGCACAGGGCCTTACACTTAGTAAGGGCTCAAAAACCACATATGCAGGACGGAACTACATAACATGAAACGTACATGTGTACATTTCAAAGAACTTCAAGGAACTGTATTTTTCAATTAGCTGATGAATCCTACCGTTTTTAATGAACAGAAGCCTATTTTATACTAATGCTGTTGATGTGGGAGCAAACCTTTCCTTTGGAGCACTCAAGTAGATGTTACTTGCCCAGTGCTTAGCTAATCCAATTCTGAGAATACAGCGTCACTGCTGGATGTTGAAATGGAGCCATTTTGGGAAGCTGAGCGGAAAACTTCCCAGTAGGAGTTATTTACGCACCTGCTGGATTACCTATAATAAATGATACTGGCCAACTCACGGTGCAATCCCCTAGCACGCTGTACCCTGGCCACTCCCTCCCTGCCTGCATTTACTGGATGACTTCCAAGAATGTTTGGAAATTAAATGTAGTTTGCAGCCTCCAGAAAGTATCAAGGGACAACTTTAAAAGTGATACTGAGCCGTAGATAATTACATTTATTTTAAAGAGTCTTTAAAAGAACACCTTTTTACAATAAATTTTGAGTGTTGGGGAAACGGTTAATGAAGCTTCGAAGGAGGGACCAGAGAGAAAATGAGAATGTGGTTGCTAAAATCTGGCACTTTCTAGGCAGGAAATGCCACGGGTTCAAGGAAAGCTTATCAACGTAAATAGGAAAGAAGGCGGAATAGTATATTCAGTTACTCTGCCACTCTTGTTTGTCTCCTTAGGCATTCGTCAGCATTTTCTGGACATTCATTCCAAATAACTAACTAACAAGGATTTATTGAATACCTTCCGTACCATGGGCCCAGCCTATGGGAAGCAAAAAAGAGAAGGAACCCCAGAAGAATGACTGCCATTCCTTACAATTTTTTTTTTTTTAGCTTTTAAGAACTTAAAAATGCTTCAAATACTTGATCCCATTCAATCCAATCTCCTCGTACAGATGAGTAAACTGAAGAGCCTACGAGCAGGACTATATGGTTTATAGGTGACTGGGTTGGGATCCATGAGTATGTCTTCTGACACCAAGTCCCGTGCTCCTCCCTCTCTCCCCCACCCCACCACAAAGACAAAGGCTGTTTTTAATAATGTTATAGCATACAATATACACTCCCACGACGTGATCAATTTTAAAGGATGTCTTTGACAGACTCGTGGATAAAAAAGCATTGAAGTTAAGTGTTTTAACTTCTTCTACACTAGATCTTCACTGCAATAACCCAGAGAAGAAGAACAAAGAAAAAGCTTCGGGGCACCTGGGTGGCTCAGTCGCTTAAGCGTCCGAGCTCAGGCCAGGATCTCACGGTTCGTGAGTTCAAGCCCCACATCGGGCTCTGTGCCGACAGCTCGGAGCCTGGAGCCTGAAGCCTGCTTCATATTCTGTGTTTCCCTCTCTCTCTCTCTGCCCCTCCCCAGCTTGTGCTCTGTCTGTCTCTCTCTCAAAAATAAATAAACATTAAAAAAAAAAAAAAAGAAAGAAAGAAAGAAAGAAAGAAAGGAAAAAGAAAAAAAGAAAAAAAAAGAAAAAGAAAAAGAGAAAGCTTTGGGGAAAGGAAGGACAAGTACAGGACAGTATGCCTTCCATGTGGTAGAAAGTGTGGAACCATCTTGTCCAGCATGGTGCAGATGGGACGGGGCAAAGGAAGACACTGAAAGCCATGTCACAACTCCACCTCCTGAGAGACAGCAGTCAGCAGTGCTGACAGGAAGTAAATGGCAGAGGGACTGTGTGATCCCCACCAACATGACTGGCCCCCTTTCGATTGTGAAGTCTTAATGACAAGGGTGCTGGCTCAGAGGAGGCAAAATTTTCAAAATTGACAAGTCTCCATTTATAATGGACCCTTAAAAAGCAATACCTAATTAAAATTTTCATTGAAAGCAACAGAGAGTAGAAAGGACACTGTAATAAAAGTCAAAAGCTGTGGTACAGAAGAGAAACTTGAAAACCTGCCACGGAATGAGGAGGAAAAAGACAAGGTGATTGAAATAATGAGAGAAAAATTGTTGTACTTAAAGAACATATAATACAGAAAGCATAGATCAGAGATGTTCCTAGAAAAAAAACAAATGAAACAGAACAAAAAAACAAAAAAGAGAACAGAATAAATAAAAGAAGCAAAATAACCAAAAATATAAAAGAAGAAAACTTTCCTAAGCTGATATAGCCATAAGGTTCATCAGTCAGTCTCCTGTGACAGAAATGCAACACCAAACTTAACACTCCGGGGAATATAGTTTTTATTCCAAGCAGCCATGTGCCCATATGAAAATCAAGAATTATGTTAGTAAGAAGGAAAATATGGATTGGGGGAACCATTATCAACCTCTGCCATAACTGAATAAAAGATTCATATTGGTAGATCAAATACTCTCATTGAGTACCCAGCAAAATTACTTCAAAGACTTCAACTATTAGATACATTCAAATTCAAGACTAATAGAAGAATTTCATAATTATCCAGGCAGGGAAAAAAAAAAAGCAGACTAGCCTTAGCCCTATAACAAACATCAGATGACAATAGAGACACAGCTATAGTTTTGAGTATAAGTTGCCAGTCAAGAATTCTAAACTCATCCAAGTTGTCATTCACGTCTAAATGAAATGGAGGAAAATGTTCAGCTACTCAGAGACTCCTAAAAAAGTACATCACTCAAATCCTTTTTGAAACAAATTACTTATTTTATACTGTAGCCAATTGAGAGATGAATCAAAATAAAGAATGGGGAAGTTCTGAGCACCTGGGTGCCTAAGTGTCCAACTCTTAATCTCACCTCAGTTTTTATTTCAGGGTTGTGAGTTCAAGCCCTGCACTGGGCTTCACACTGGGCATGAAGCCTACTTAAAAAAAAAAAAAAAAAAGAAAAGAAAAGAAAGAAGAAGGAGGAGGAGGAGGAAGGGGAGGAGGAGAAGGGGAAGGGGAATGGAGAAGTTCTGATGAAGTAGATCCCAAGGTGATTACCGAAATCAATCAATATATCATCTAATTTTTTTTAAGTATTATTGTGAATGAGTTTTTAAACACAGGCATTGATTATCGAAAGAGAAAATAATGTTAAAAAATAACACCTGGGGCGCCTGGGTGGCTCAGTAGGTTAAGCGTCCAACTTCAGCTCCAGTCATGATCTCGCGGTCCGTGAGTTCGAGCCCCAAGTCGGGCTCTGTGCTGACAGCTCAGAGCTTGGAGCCTGCTTCAGATTCTGTGTCTCCCTCTCTCTCTGCCCCTCCCTTGCTCACGCTCTGTCTCTCTCTGTCTCAAAAATAAATAAAAACAAACAAAAAAACCCCACCAGGTATCCATTGATCAAAATTCAATGAATATACACTTAAGATTTGTGCTTTTTATCGTCCGTAAATTTTACCTCAAAGGGGGAAAAATTGCAAGCAATCATTAAACTCTGGTTCATGATATTTGTGCTGAAGTATTTAGGGGGAAGTATACTGACATCTTCAATTTCCTTCAAAATGTATTTTTTTTAAGAGGGGTTGAATGGATAGATACATGATAAAGCAAGAAAAGTAAAATGGCAATAGTGGGAACTAGATGGTGGGTATATGAGTGTTCATTGTAAATTCTGTCAACTTTTCTATAGTTTGAAAATTTTTATAAACAATATGTTGGGAGGAAAAAAGTAACGCCTGAATCTAAAATCCCACGTTAAATAAATAAAATAGGGAACCGAGTGAAATAGGATAGAAGGGGAGGAATCACAGTGCATTTGATAGGTAACACTTTTTAAAATCAATAATTAGAAAAATATAAGTTCCTATACATATGTTTTAAATTATCAAGGCAATTCCAGTAGAATTTAAAAATAGAACCCATACATTCCACATCATTAGCAGGAAAAAGAAAAAAGAAAATACAAACAACGTAGCAAAAAACACAATTTTAAGTAAAGAGCACGCAGAAAGCATAAGCAACTTGACTAAAGTAAAAACTAACATAGTAACTATGACAATAAATATAAATGGCTTAAACTCCTATATTTGAAAAACTAAACCTGTCAATACGTTCTCCCAAGGTATACATCGAGAACAAAGAAAGAAAAGCATCAGAATAAGGAAAGATAAGCTAGCAAATATATCACACATGTAAACACACTATCTACAAAGAAACCAGGATCGCAATGTTTTCCATCCAAGTAGAATTTAAAGACACAAGCTTAAGTGAAATTTAGATAAATACTGACAAAGTCTGCAACTCATAATTGTCGTGAACCTTTATATGCCACATAATATAGAATAAAAATAAATAAAGCAAGAATTCTTAGACATTCAGAGGAAAATTGATAGAAATGTAATAGTAATGGGAGATGTTAAGATAATGTCTTTGACAACTCAGAAAAGTAATGCGCATACAATAACATAATAGTACGTTAGGAAGCATCCAGTTGTGTTTCAATCAGAGTAGAGTTGATCAGGACAATGACTTTGTTCATTCCAGAAGCTGTATTTTTCTTAATGAAGGCTTACCACATGTGAGATTCTTTGGCAACACATGTGCGCATTTATACTTGACCTATGTTGCCTACCAACCCCATCTGCATATGTGCTGCTAACAAACCATTCTCTACACAGGAGATCTAGCAAGATTCATGAACTATACAATCTAGAGAGGTTTCCACTGTTGATGTAGTAGAAGAAGAAATGGTAAGGATTATATGAACTGGAAAAGATTTCTTGTATCTATTAAACTCTGAGATATTTCAAAGCAATGGGTCCTAGTGAAAGATCAGATGATAGAACGAGAAAGTTCAGGATCTTCCAAGACAGTTTTCGTTCCCTAGGGCTAGATCCTGCTTCCATAAACAGAAATAAGAGAGATGGGAAGGGCAGCGAGGTTAAGGGAAAGTTCATAGATGGGCATGAGGATATTTTGAATTTGTAGTAATGACAAGATAGCCCATTGGAGGTGCTTTGGAGGCTGCTGGAAATGTAGAGCAGGATCTGGGTTAGAAATGTGGATTGGAGAGTGACCATCACAAAAGTCAGTGAAAGCCACATGACTCAAGTTACTGGTGGAGAGGATATCGGATCAGCAAAGCCCTCGAAAGCCTGATGATCGAGACACGGAAAGCCAGGCAGAGAATTCTGTGCACGACATGGTCGGCAATGTAAAGCCAACAAAGGTTTGGGATCAGGAAAGTGGTTTTCATTATTAGGAAATTTCCATTTTGAAGCCCAGTTTTGCTTTCCAACATATCTGTCAGCAGCTGGTGCTTCCTCTGCCCTGTTGGGTAACAAAATGCATCTGCTCCCTCTTTTACATGTCAGTAGAGGGAAAAGCAGAAACAGCATCTCGCCTTCATGCAGTCCGCAGGACTAGAAGGAGAAGACACGATGCACTCTGAGAAAACCACATTAATCATCGACCCAGGAAACTGGAAAACTCCCCAAAACCATTGCTATAAATTCTACATTTACACAAAAATCGGGAGGTTCAAGTTCTTGTTACCACAGGGGAAGGAAAACACGTAAAGCTGCCAGAAAGAGAAGCCCACTTGCTACCTAGACTCACCGAATTCACATCTAAGCACCCCATTCTCATTCCACGGAAAAGAAAACTAAGTTGCCAAAAGACAATTGATGTCTTGATCAATGACATGTCCGTGCCATTTACAATTCCCACGTGACCATTCCCATTTCGGAGCCCAAGAAACTATAGCCCCAAGGCCACAATGACCTGCCCAATGTCACCCAGCAAGTAAGTATCCAAACTGATAGGCAAACCCAGTTCTCCCTGCTACTCAGCCACACAAACCAACCAAAGCATGCCAGACAGAAAGAAAAAACCTGGCTGTGTCGTGTCTGAAGAAGCAAACCTATGCAAATCTTCTCTATTCTTGGGAAAGATGGAAGTCTCAGGTGCTGGAGGAACCAGCATACTCTCAGCTGGGTTTTGGGTGAAGTCACGGGGACCCTGTCTACAACATCTACCAAAGAAATAGCGTCTGCCAGCTTCCCGCAGAGTTGCTGCCCAGGGACCTTATGACAATTATGGTTTGGCTGGAGCCCAGCCAGCCTTCCTGGGTCAGAATCTCAGGGTGGGGCCCTGGAACCTGAGTTCCTAACAAGCCTCCCCAGTGACTCGCACACACACCCAAGTACAGGAGCCTCTGGGGTTTATGTTCTTGACCAAGGAACACGTGAAGAGTGAATCCAAATCTTGTCCCCAAGCCTGGGGTCAGAAGGGACAGGGATCCTCACCCTGCCGTCAGCCCCCAGGCCCTCGTGTGCCTTTCTGGCTCATTGCTCAGCTCAGCCCAGCCCAGAATTAGTCCTCCTGAAGGACGCCCCTCTACCATTTTAATTTCTAAAACCTGTCATAAAAGCAGCTCTTCTCTCCTAATGAGGTAATTGGTGCCATAATGCCATTAGGAAGGTGCCCCTGGCGCGCGGCTCAATTAAGAAAGGTGTATTAAATGATTTACATTTCTTTATTTAGCTGAAACACTAGCTCTAGACTTGCTAAGTAATACAATGTTAATGAGCCGGAGGATGGGGCTCATTTAATTCTATACTGTAGCTTTCTAATTGATGCATTGTTCTTCCTCACCCCTCTATCCAATTTTTCTTCTCCCAATGCTGGAAACAGAGAGACACAGAAAGAGAGAGAGCGAGGGAGAGAGGGAGAGAAACTACTCAAGTGTCAGAAGGCAAAAGGGGAAAATCTACATAAAGACAGATTCTCAGCCCTCAGGCAGATCGACCTTTCAGAGGGATTGGACTCTCTATGTTAATTATTGACCTTGCAAGTTTATTCAGGGCTCAGGCTGGGCCCAGAGGCCTAAAGAGCCCCAATCTGGAGGGCCAGTGTTTCCATCCTGTGAGACCTGTCACTCTCTGGAGGGGCCTAGGGAAGGTCTAACGTGTAATCCATGGGCCAAGAGCATCAGTGCTTGGGAGTTCATTGGAAAGGAAGAAATCCATGCTCTCTACCCCACAATTATTAAATCAGAATCTAGATTTAACAAGACCCTCAAGTGATCCTTACGCACTTGGAAAGTCGTGAAGCACTGGTCGGGATCCTTCCAGAATAAATCAGAACTTCCCTCAGAGAGATTTACCCACCAGAAACCAACCCATGCCTACCCCAGGGGCAGAATTTCCCTTTTCTTAAATGTGACTGTGCTCGGAGGAAGAAAACAAAAACAAAAACAAAACACCTTTTTGTTTGTTTGTTTTTGGTTTTGTTGTTGTTTGTTTTTTGTTTGTTTTTTGTTTTTAAGGGAAAAAAGTCCCCAAGTAACAGAAAAGACCAAGAAAGAGTTTCTGGACTTAAGAAATTCAAAAGCCCATATTTCATTTTACTCACATAACCACCAATCTCTCCTGCATCACACCCAAGGGCTGCGGCTCTGTCTCTGCCAAGCCACAATTACATGAAAAGCCAGAAGAAAAACACTCTTTCTGACACAGAAGAGCCAGGAACACCAATAGAGAGCAACCTTCGAAGCTCATGGAATCACAGTATGTGGGAGCGGGAAGGGGCCTTAGAAGTCACTTCCCGGGGCACCTGGGTGGCTCAGTCGGTTGGGCGTCCGACTTCAGCTCAGGTCATGATCTCACGGTTTGTGAGTTCGAGCCCCGCGTCGGGCTCTGTGCTGACAGCTCGGAGCCTGGAGCCTGCTTCCGATTCTGTGTCTCCCTCTCTCTTTGCCCCTGCCCCACATGTACTCGGTCTCTCTCTCTCTCTCTCTCTCTCTCCCTCTCTCAAAAATAAATAAAAATGTTCAAAAAAGTCACTTAGCACCCCTTCACCCTCCAAACGAAGCACTGAGGCCCACAGGGGGCAAGTGATTTGTTCAAGCAACCCACACCTATTAGTGTCAGAGCCCGAGCAGGCTGGGACTGGGCCCGGGTCCCCTTTCTCCATCCAGCCCTGTTTCCATCACACCAGGAGCCCTCGGGAAATTTGTACGAGGACCATCTTCAGGCCCGTGTGCAAAAAGCCATTTCACAAATCTGCACACCATGAACCTGTTCTTCTAAAGCATATGTGACACCACGCAGTTGTAACCACTGCCCGGCAGAGGCGATCCCGAGGAACCGCTTGGTTGCTGGTCTCCAGATCACAGATCAGCCGGAACGTTACGCAGTGAGAACCAACTCAAGCTGTTCGCAAAAACTGGAACTGAACTCGACACGAGATTCGAAAACGGAACCAACTCTTTCTTTTCATGATCTTTTTCTTTTCTTTTTTTCCCTCATTTTTCCCCTGGCAACCACCAATCTGTTTTTCGTTGCTAGGAGTTCAGTTTTTTCAGATTCCACATATAAGTGAGATCAGACGGAATGTATCTTTCTCTGTCTGCCTTATCTCACTCTACTCTCTTCTCTTCACAGGTTGCTCCCTTCCAACGTTTGTACTCGAGCATTATCTGGGCGAGAAGACCCTGGTACCACCAGCTCAGAGGAATATCTCCACACCTGACAGATGGCTTGCTTGTCCAAACTCATCGTTGTTTATCTTCAGATACACACAGCCCAACTTGGGAATGAAGACAGAATAACATAAATGTCCCTCAAGACCAAAAGTCTCAACCAACAACGCCATAACCTAGCAGACCCCAAGAAACTCGGATCCAAAATGACCAAGTAATGGCAGTGGAAAAACCCGTGTGAGAAAATCTGCCATGAGGAGGGTATCCAGCTGGATAAACCCCAATTCCCCAGCCCCCCTTTCTCTGCTACCTCCAGCAGCCAAATCATCTCTCAGTGTCAGTGTGCCCCTCCGAGGTGACCACCACCTCCTGTCCCTCTAATGACTAAAATGACAAACATCAGCCTAATGCTCATTCTTTCCATGAAACTGAAGTTTCTATATCCGGGTTCCTGGAATGGACTTCCTTTTTCCTTTTTCCCCTTTCTTCCTACCTTCCTTCCTTCCTTCCTTCTTTCCTTCCTTTTTTTCTCTCTTCCTCTCTTCCCTTTCTTTCTTTCTTGTCTTTTTTTTGGTCCCAGGCACCCTGTCATTTTTCTCAAATGGAGAAAAGGGGGGAAAAAAGAGAAGCAAACGAACCTTCCCCGCAGTGATGTGAGTGACTGCTATGTTTCCATGGCTCGCTTTCCACTGTTCTCTGTGACCCCTGCAGACTCCCCTTATGAGTGAGTGTCCCGGAATGTCTCTTTATTAGGTGTCTGGAGAAGTAAAGCTGTCCTGATGCCAGTGCCCCCACACTGAGGACTTTATTAGTTTTTTAATTTTCTGTCTGGGTGCTCCTGCTGCATCAAACTTTCCACAGCTGTTAGGAGCCATTAAGTAAGTAGCTTCATGGGCCCTTTCCCCACCCTACCCCCTCCTTAATAGCAGGAGAAATTTCTGGACATGCTACGTGGAGCCTTTAAAATAAAGATGCTTTGTCTCTCTGGTGAGAAATCGCTGGGGGTCTGGGTGGGGAGAGGATGTCCTGCCATCAGAAAAGCGCCTTGCCTCGTGGGTGCCTTGGCTTAGAGCAGGGCCGTGCAGACGACATGGGGGACCACGCAGACGTGAGGAGCCACTCTCTCAGCCTTTCCGCCTGGCAAGTAGAGGACCCGGGGTAGCTCCGACTGTTTTTAGAGCTGACTTGGAATCGGGCCCAGAGCTTGATGCCCAGTTCAAAGCATTCCCTCCTCAGTGGACATTCTGAGACCTGCAGCGAAGAATAAAACAGAACGCCTTGCAAACGTTCCCTGTGTAGGCACACAGCTGTGGTTCTGCACAACAGGCCAGGCTATTACTGCTCCTGTCACCCCCCAGAAGGGACTCCAGAGCCCCCTCTCTGCCGGTGTCCTTGATGCCCCAAACCCACCATCCAAAGGACTCCTTGTGTGTGAATCCAAAGATGGACACACACACACACACACACACACACACAAGCTCACTCAGACACTCACAGGGCCAAGTATTGTTGGACCACGCAGCCAGGCCCTGACTCATAGCACCCATGGATCTAGAAGGTTATGACCACTGGGCGGACAGAGGAGCACAGACTAGGTGCTTGAGAGCCCAGAGCTTTCCAAGCATCTCTCTCGGCTCCAGCCTGCCTGGCAATTTGCTTTGAGCGGCTGCCTCTAAGCCTCCCTTTGAGAAGACCTTATTTGCAGGGTGAATGTGAAAGACCAGAGAGAAGAAAACCCTTTGGTGATGCCCGCCTAGGGAACAATTTTGCCTCAGAGAGCAAGTTGGTATTTGGGGTTAATCCCTCTGTGGAAACACTGGGTTGAAAGCCCAGGGGAGGTCAGGGGTCTGATTACCGCTTCTGTTGACATATAAACTTCCTGGTCCTAGGAGACAATCGCAGGGGTGGGGGCAGGGAGCCGGGAAGAAAAGAAAGCAGAGAAGAATTTTTTTAATTAAATGGCCTTCTCTCCTAAAAGTAAAATCAAGGAAATGAGGTAGAGCTTGCAGAATTAAGATTTGATTTGAATGTCTAGGCACAAATTTTTAAACATTTTTCAGTCAAGATTTATAGGCTAGGGTTGAAGCATCTTCTGAAATAAAATTTGAAATGAAATGCTGATATATATACACTCATATATTATATGTATTCATTATATATATATATATACATATGAATAGATATATTTAATAAAAAAAAAAAAACAGGAAGAAATAACTCCCCTTCTGAGCACCAGAGGAATGGTTTTGTTGTATTTTTTTGAGTAGCTCTGATTTGAGTTTTGTTTAGTGTTTGGGTTGGGTTCGATCAGAGAAAATCATCATGAAGACACTACAACCAATTTCAGGCAGATATGCTGAAAACTATGGTATTTAGGCCATTTGAAAATTGCTATAAACACATACATCTAAGAAAAGCCTAGATGAGAGTATTAAAGACAGAAGCAATACTTTCAAAAGAATTAAGAGAAAAAAAATACTCCTTCCATACGTTCAAAAAAAGGCAAAGCAGAACTAGGCAGTTGAGTTGGGGAAGATGGGGAGAGGGGGGCAGGGGGGTGGGGATGCCAAAATGGTTACCAAAAAAAGGAGCAGTTAATTTTTTTTTTTAATTTTTTTTTAAATGTTTATTTATTTTTGGAACAGAGAGACACAGAGCATGAACAGGGGGCGGGGGCGGAGAGAGAGGGAGACATAGAATCGGAAACAGGCTCCAGGCTCTGAGCCATCAGCCCAGAGCCCGACGCGGGGCTCGAACTCACGGACCGCGAGATCGTGACCTGGCTGAAGTCGGACGCCTAACCGACTGCGCCACCCAGGCGCCCCAGGAGCAGTTAATTTTTAAGATCTATAATTCAAGCAATTTTTAAAATTTTTTTCTTAATGTTTATTTTTGAGAGAGACAGCACGAGCGGGGGAGGGGCAGAGAGAGAGAGGGAGACACAGAATCGGAAGCAGGCTCCAGGCTCTGAGCTGTCAGCACAGAGCCTGATGCGGGGCTCGAACTTACGAAGTTGGACGCCCAACCGACTGAGCCACCCAGGCACCCCTCAAGCAATTTTTTAAATTAAATTATTTTTTTTTAACTCAAGTATAATTAAAATAAATTTCAGTTAACTTGAGCAATTTTTTAAGGGATTAAATTTAAAGACAAAAATAGTTACTTTTTTTTTTTTATTATTATAAAAGGCAGGGTGTCACGAGTCTGTCCCAGACATCTGTAAGAACATTAAACAAAACATCCATGAAGAAACTGTGGAAACCCTGTTGCTTGGGACATTTGCAACCAGATAAAATTCAGGTATGTAGGATTTGAATCCCAACACATCCCCTCATAGAAGAGAGATCCCCAAACCTGATTACTAATTTCCTTTTGTGTCTCTAACTGATGAGATTTTTTTCTTGAGGTTTTTGCAAATATTAAGGATGCTTCTCACTGTTTACTTTGGTAAATAAAAAGGAAAGCATTTCTTCGAGAAATCTTCAGCTTTCCACTTTAAGACCCTAGCTAAAGAATTTTGGAAAGCCAATCATCTAACATTTCGAAAATGAATTTATCGACAAAAGTAATGAACAAATGAATGAAAGAAAGAAAGAGAGAGAGAGAGGGAGAAGTGAATAAAAGTTGAAATCAAAGCCCATGGGTCATTAACTGCCCCTTCGAAAGAAGCAAGAACATTTCTAATTCTTTCATTTTTCACCACAAATCCTATACTCTCCCTAATTCATCAGCTACTTGGTTCCTGCTTTGCCCACTTGGCCTTTGTCCTTTTATGTCTTTTATCCCCTAAACGAGAATGGTTTCCTGATATTTTCCTCCACAAATTCCTTCAGAGCATCTGACAGCAGGAAGGTGGCTGTTTCAGCAGCAGGGATAAAAAGGAGAGGAGGAGAAAGAATGACACAGAAAAGCAATTTCGTGATGCAGAGGCCAAACGTTCACCAGGTCATGCACTGTGAAGGGACACCTAACACAGAGGTCTGCATTTCTGAGGGGCACTGATTTTCTGTCAGCCCCTCTCGCAGAACCACTTCCGAGAAGGTGAGGCATTTCACCAGGCTGAATTTGGGACCCGCTGGCAAATATCAGAGGTTGTTCGAGAGCAAGTGGTGAGTCAGAGGTGACATCAGACTATATCATATGGGCAGAAGCGAACCGAGCAATGAGCTCCCCTTTGGGCTCCAAAACGCAACGTAGCTGGGCTCGGGGGTCTGCAGTGGGACATACATAATTAAGTCCCCAAATCGGGACACTTCTGAGAGTAAAAGCGGGGGTGTCTATTGGAATTACACCGCGGCAGCCCATACAAGCCAGGGCCGCCCTAGGCAAACAGGGACGTTGCTCCCCCTAATTAGGATGAATCTCTGCAAAGTCTAAGAGATAAAATTCAGCTGCTCTCGGAATCGACTTTCGACAAGGCTGGGCCTCCCGTTGAGCTCTTTTTCCCCAGGGGAAGAGCCTCTCCAATGGCAACGAGTGGGCCATGAGGAAGTGCGTTGGGCAACTAAGTGTGGGAAATGGACTGTTCTTACCCCCACCCTTTCTGGGAGACTCACGGTATGCATATTAGCAAATTGGTTTGAGAAGTCCCGCAGCAAATTAAGCTACTTAGCCATTGTTCAACCTGGGGTTTTCCCAAAGGTTTTTGAGCGCCAAGAGATCGTTTGTGTGCGGAACTACCTAGAATGTTCATGCAAACGCTGTTCTAAGCCTTTGGAAGCCAAGTGTAGAGGGAAGGGCTGGAATTACAGGCCTTCTCCGGGAGATGGAAGCTGGCAGAATATCCAGGGGCTTGCAGTGTTCCTGAGGATGACACTAGCAGATGTTCAGCTGGGTGAGGTAATCCAAGAGCCTACCCGGGCACAGCCAAAAGGCCTGCAGAAACATGTCTGAAGCCATCCCACACCGTGAGCGGGAAGCCTTTGGGTTCACATCAACGTAGGCAGGTCTCCCCAGCCCACATTAATCCATTTCCTCAAACGAGAAGGGCAACAGAGCCTGCATTTGATATTAAGGGAGTGGTGAGCCTGACCCGAACTCAGCTGCGACACACGGAACCTCTGTTTCCCTGTAGGCATTTCCTCCACAGGGACCTGAGGCTACGCCTCATCCATCCTGCCGCATCTCTGGCTCGCGTGCCCCGTGGGGGGTGCCCCAGAGAGTGCGGGTGTGACGGGTGACCATAGGGGCCTAGGAGTCAAGACAGAGGTGGCCTGGGTACCGGGCGAGGTGCTTGTCGCGGAGTGTGGCAGAGCAGTGCTGACGTGCAGCCCGTGAGGCAGAGGCTGCTGGTTTCTGGGACACGCAAACCATTCTCCCCTGGGTTGTCTCCAAATCTTCTGGGGGCAGGTCCCTCGCTATTCCCGTCTGCCCTTCGTTTCGCAGCCAGAAACATATAAACTCCTTCAGGTCTTGCAGAGCATCTCACAGTGAGTTGGTGGGCAGGAGAGCCCTAGAGAAAGGTCATGGTGATGGGACTAGAGGCAAACATCAATACTTGTCAGCATCACTGTCCAAGCTTCACATGGCGCCTGTCAGGAGAACTGACGCCCTGATCTCTCCTCCTCCCCTCCACTCACTTTTACCCCCTCCACTGAATCCACTTACGCCCAGCTGCTCTTTGACCCCCAAACATACCATTCTTGTCACGACCCCTGCTCTTCCTAGTGCTGTCCCTTGTCTCCCTAGCCAAGTCTGACTCATGTACTTTAAAACCCACCCGAGATTTCACTTTTTTAGCTGAAC